TATATATATTTGTATAAATGATACAAACCTTTACTTGGGTATTGAATAACTATATTTCAAGCAGAAGTGTCAGATTATTTGGTGACTGACGCTACATAATCTGTTCCTATATACTAAGGAATGTAAACAACTGACATCACAATGTGTTCTGACTGTGTGAATGAATATACCGTAGGCCGTTGGACTTCCATAAGTAGATCTGGTTTAAAGATACATTCACTGTAAGGTTATCGTGTAGATAATGTGATGCATGTGGATCTCATTGCTGCCCTACCATTCTTTTCACTGCACATATTACAGCTTAAAAGAGGTAGTGGGAATGTGTTGCAGACAGCAAAATAAATGCATTTCGAGCCAGATGGGGAATTGAGAGTCCTTTTTCCATTAACTCTGCAAAGTTGCCAATTAAGCCAAGATTCAAAACTCCTCTACACACCTATCTTGCCAGTTGCTTCAAAGAACGAAGGGCTGTACATGTACTAAAGGTGTAATACAAACTTTGCCTGTCTGCTAACTGGTGCTTCACTTCTCTGCTCCCATCCTGACCATGACCATGGCTATAATCAGAATGAAAATGCCTCTATCTTTCATACTACAGTAGAGAAAACTCGGAACTTTATTGATTACAATGGCAACAATGCTATTAGATGACTTTGGTGCCTGGTAGTAAATAAGAGGGTGGTGTGCGGTGCTGCCATACAGCTGGATACAGATGGTGGGTTTGTGAGAGTTATGGGTTTCACCTTCCCTGAGGATTTTTCTGTAATTTAGAAGCACTGTGGCAAAACTGACAGCAACTAGTGAAGACAGGAAAAGGGGACTCTGTCACGGTCTGGGAACCAGCACAGTGGATGCTAATTCCGAGACTTGCAGAGCAATCTGGGTCACTGGCAACAGGAACTGTAGGGCCACTTGAGACTCTAGATGCAGAGAGCATTGGACAGGACAACTGCACATGGATACAGGTGTGAAAATGGCACAGGATCTAAGGAATGCCTGGTCTTCTCTAGAGCCCCTGATGGTGGGGATGTTGCACTGTAGGGCAGCTCCCATGTTGTGGCCCTCTTACACATCCATGCAGACCAGCTAACAAAACTACATAGAACAGCACTGGGATGCAGGAGGCAGCGCTAGGGACAGTGCTTTGCACAGAACGCTAGACAAACACAAAGAAACAGGAAAACGTAAGGTGCACCAGAACACCAAAAACGGTCTACAGGGAAGCTGAGCAGGACAACACAGAGGGCAAAGCACAAAGGACACAGGAGATAAAAGTAACTCAGGATACAAATGGAGAAACAGAATAACTAAGATGCACTGGAAGACAGGAGGGAGACATACAGCAGTGCAGAGTGGAATAGACACAGCAAGCTGATGCAGGTGAATGGGGAGAACAGACACATGGGAGCAGGGGTGTGTGAACAAGGAACCGAGCAGGGAAAAAAGAAGTAAAGATGAACACACAGCACACAGGAAATGCAACCGAGGAACATTGGCAGAAACCACAGGGTCACTGTTAGGATCCAGAGCGTCTCCAGGTGGCGCTGGAGCTAAGCCCTGCAGTTCCTGTGCTCACCTGCAGGTGTCTCCAGGCAGCCGGGAACTGTTAGGTACCAGATCACCACTGGAGGGTGCTGGAACCTGCAGCTCCAGTGCTCACCTGTGGGTGTCTCCCAGCTGCCAGCACTTAGCCATCACCTGGTAGTCCCCAGTCTTGAGTCCTGTTCCCTGCTTCTGTTCCGGAGTCCTGTTACCTGTTTATTTTTCAGAGTCCTGTTACCTGTTTGTTTCCGAATCCTGTTACTTGTTTGTTTCCGAGTCCTGTTACCTGCTTATGTTCCTGAGTCCTATTGCCCTGCTCCCCAGGTTTTCATGCCCTGTTATACCCTGTGAGGGTATTCTGTGGTTTGTTCCTAGTTTTGGTTGTGATTACTTATTTGTGGTTTATGTTATGTTTCGCTCCTTATAAATAAAATATATATATAGCTCACTTTGTCACACTAGAAACACCGCAGGAATCAAGAACACTGAGAACAACAGAGCAAAAGACACAGAATGCAGGTGAATACTCATGAAACAGCAAAAAGCTACTAGAAACACAGGGAGTATGGCTGTTAGTGTGGAGCCACTTTGACTGAACGCAGAGCAACAAGTTATCTAGCTCTAAAACACCTAAGTAGAGAGCTGATTGGTAGGAATCTGAGCTCATCGGGCAGAGGGCAAAACCCAGCTCCTGATCAGAGAACAGGAAAGTGTGATCGCCTCTAGGGACTAGTAGACTACAGGACGGGGGTGTTGGTGCACCATAACACTTTCCTAATATATTGTAATTCAGTTAGCACAAATTAGTTGTACACTTATGTCTGGTAATGGTGGATTATGGAATGTATTGTCTGCTATATTTTATTTTAGGGTTATGGGTATAAAGGTTTTTTGTAAATAAATGTTAATAAATGTTAATTCAGAATTTAGGAGCTTCATTATAGTCAGTGGTGTTTGTATGGTTTCTGCATGTTACCACTTCTCTTGTTCTGTATGCTGGTTATAATCTGTTCTTATTCTGTATGCATAGGTCTTGCATAGCAGCACTTCTCTTGTTCTGTAAAACCAGTGTCATTCTCTGTAATTCTGTATTTATTAGTCTGTATGTTGGGTGTAATTTATAGCATCTGTACCTATTGGGTATGTATGAACAGTGCATACTACCACATTTCTTTGGTTTACTTCTCTGTATGAATGGAAACACCAGACAAAATTAATTGTATTTATTAATACTGATACCTACCTTTTTCCAGTTCTTAGAAGTTCAAACCCTTTATTTATTTGGGTAAAAGGCAAAGTATGAGTCACTAAACCATCCAGGTCAAATTTGCCTGCCATGTAGTCAGAAACCAACTGGGGCACTGAGTCCATACTTTTATAACCTGGAAAAGTCAGACTCTTGTTCAGTTTTGTTCAGTCAGATACAAAATATACACACTTGTTCACGTTCAAAACGATAAACATGCTACACATTAGGGGAATATATGTATGAAGGACAATAAACCCTATTTAATGCATTGCCTGCTATGACTGTTCCTGCAAAGGACCTTTGGTCTCTAATTTCCAGTCCCCTGTGCAAGCGTCCTGCATGTGCACTTGCTGTGCCATACTAAACTATGAGAAGAGTAGTAGTGACAAATTTAGACACACACCTGTCAGTTTGCTAACTGTCCATGCACAGTTTTCATGTGTATTTGCAACTCCTTCGCTTGTAATCCTATTTAGCAAACTGTGATAGATTTGCACAGGTTGAGCCTGGTTTAGTCTGGGCTTAGCACTGGAGAACAGATACACAATAAAGTAGCGGTCAGAGTCAGGTTTTATTCTGTCACAGTGTTATTTTACAGCCGCTGAGGGGGAATTTATGAATGAAGCTACCTATGCAAAAAATGCATAGACGTATATATGTACGGTATACTGTGAAGGGAAGAGGCGCTTCATTTGTGCACCTATACTTCTATAACAGTAACACAGCCATTTCTTGTTTTTTAAATAAGCTTTTATAACTAGAATAATTAATACAAATATTACATCATAGACTTTCTAACTACATCTTTATCGGAGAACCAAAAGTATTTAGCTATATAGTGCTCTACTATTTTAGGATTACAAAAAGCAACAAAAAAAAAATTAATAATGCATTTAGAAAAGGTAACTGTAACCTGGAACAGCAATATTACACAATCATTGAGGTAGAGAGTTATTTCTTCTGGTTAATTATTAGAATGGGATGAGCTGTTGGGAACATTTTTGATATGTGGAAAACTACAGTTTAGTGTTTGCCATTGTCAACAAGTACTGATTTGATAAACTGACAGGGTTGTTCACCAAAGGGTGAAGAGTTTGGAGAAGGCAGGAGAAGTGAACAATCTAGGACAACATAACTGAACTGGAAAGTTAGCTGAATTGGAGAATTTTTCCAAATCAGCTATGTTGTCCTAGATTGTTCATTTCTCCTGTCTTCTCCAAACTCTTCACCCTTTAGTGAATAACCCTGTTAATGTTTTCCCTGAAGGTTAAATGAGGTGAATATTATAATATATTCTGAATTAAGGCCAACAACACTTCATCATTCCTGAACTTTGACTTCACAAAGAGTGATTCCAAACATGCAAAGACAACAAAGTTCAAGCTCTTATAAAGGAAATCTATTATGTTTCTTTATGTAATGTGTTTAGCAATAAGACATACAGATTACATGTTTTACTTTTTATTGTTTATTATTACTTTTAATATTTCACTTTTATTTGTAACCAGATAATAAAAAATATTGAACATGACTTTGCTTTGCCACTTTCCTATTTACCATATGCATTACCATATGCAGCCATCAGGTAGAGCTCTTTTCTATGTCTATCTTATGTCTGGTCTTTTCAGTTAGCTGCTGTGACAAAAATACACCTGAATAAGTCAAAGGCTGCCTGGAGCTGAGCAGGATGCTCCCCAAACCTGGACCCTAACCACCAGCCGCCTCATGCTAGGGACACCCTGGGAATACTCATTGTGAACTAATGCGAATGTACCCGTATCTGCTTTTTTTAGTTGTCTCTCTAATTTCTGCTATAAAATCCTTAATGTTTTCCACCTAGCCAACAGCTTGAATGGATTAGAATAAAACGTTTAAGAGCTAGACAATCGATATCGCGCAAATGTTTGCATTGGGCTGAGTACAATTGTGCGGCATCCGCGTCAAATATGCGCGATAAAACAGTCAGTGTGAATGGGGCCTTATGCTGTGTCCACATGCTGTTCTACAGAAGGGAAATGTGAAGGTCCTATGAACTAGGAGCTAAGAGTTAGAGGATTCAGGAAAAACAATGCTGCCCAAATTCTCGAACTTGGAGCTTTCAAATTTACCTTCTGTATGATAGCATGTGAAGGCAGCTTAGGATTTCCGTTGAGTTGTGTGCATGTAACGTGAAGAGTGGGTCACTAGAGACTTCAAACAATTGTGCATGTGGCTCTGTCAACTGGACAGCAAGGGAGAAGTTATTAAATGGACAGTGGTCTGTAGGCAGAGAAGGGCAGTAGCACAGATGGTTCAGAAGTAGTTGGGTCTTACACTATTAGGGAAAGATTGGTCATCCATTATTTATCAAAGGGATTGCAAATTGAAAACAAATGGAATGGAGAGGTGGGTTACCATTTTAAAAGGTGCTTTACCAGTTTGAAACAGTCCTCTCCATTAGCTGATGCATCCATCCCCACTGCACCAGCCTTGTCACATAGCACAGGTTGGTAGCAGCAAGGGAGCCCCTTCTTGTCTCCTCCATTAAAGTATATATCAGTCAGATTAGTGCTTACTAATAGAAGACACAGAAGTCAGGAGCACCCACAGCATTGGCTGTGCAGAGCTGCAGTAGTTATGCAGCTCTTGCTGCAGGGGGTGGGACAAGAATGTAAAAAAATAGTTTTAACTGGTGGGTAGCAACCCTACATGCACCCATCCCCCCTACATGCACCCATCCTGACATTTCATACAGTTGAAAACAGTTGCAAATAGATGTCTGATAGCAAATTGTACCTCCATATACACTGCCTTTCCATGTTCGTCCTGTGAGGAGCAGAAGAGGATCAAATGTGATCTTTGCATCATGGGAAGCTACACCTATTATCACACTGGTCCCATATCCTGGGTGAGTACACTCCAGTGCTGCTTTCTAGTTGAGAAGGATAAAGGAAATTAGACTGAAGTCATGTATGCCTAGGAAAAAAAGTTAAGTACCTATAATTTATCTTTAACAGTAAAGATTCCACAGATGTGCAGGAAAACCTGAATGACTTCTAGATGTTTTAAAAAACAAGCTTTATCTATGTGGTTCACAACAGAATAGGGTACAGTATATGACCTTTTCATTACCATTAGTTATTATATAATTTTAACACCCAACATGTTTATTTATTCCATTTAAAGTTTTATCACATTGATCTGCTGAATTTACAACTTGTGTTATAGTATACATTTTGCAGTATTACATAGTTACATAGTATTTGAGGTTCAATAAAGACACTGGTCCATCAAGTCCAACCTTTGTGTGTCTGTATGTGATTGTGCATGTGTGTGTGTGTGTATATGGATCCCTGTGTGGTCTAATTTTTAAGAGTACCTGTACCCCTGTATGTTGTGGTCTCTGAGGAAGGTAACTAAATGCATTTTGAATGATTCAATATTCAATGCTGGTACCACTGCTTGTGGCAGCGAGTTCCAGATTTTAACCGCTCCAACTGAAAAAAAGCCTCTACGCCCCTTGTGGTTAAATCTTTTCTCCACCAGTTTTAGGTGGTGGCCTCTAGTCCTTGTTATGGAGTTTATAGTAAAAAGTTCATTGCTGATGTTGCCATTCCCACTTAACATTTTGTACATCAAAATCATGTCTCCTCCTAGTCTCCTCACATCCAGCGTGAACAAGTTTAAATTTAATAGCCTTGTCTCATAGCTTAGGTCCTACAGCACCTTAATTAGTTTAGTTGCCCTTCTCTGGACTCGCTCCAGCTCAAGGACATTCTTTCTGTGGATTGGTGACCAAAGTTGAACCGCATATTAAAGATGTGGCCACACCAGTGATCTATAAAGTTGCAAAATTATTGCATTGTCTCTACAGTACATTTCCAACTCAAGGACATCTTTTCTTAGTACTGGTGACCAGAACTGGACCGCGTACTCCAGATGAGGCCGAACCAGTGATCTATAAAGTGGCAAAATTATAGACTTGTCTCTACAGTACATTCCCTTTTTAATGCAATACAGTACTCTGCTATCTTTGTTTGCTGCAGCCTGGCATTGCATGCTGTTATTCAATCTGTGGTCTACTATGACCCCCAGATCTCTTTCCATTTCTGACTTCCCTAGTGGAGTACCCATTAAAAAGTATTCCCTTGCCTGTTTTTGACCCCAAAATGCCTTACTTTACATTTTTCAACATTAAACCTCATCTGCCAGATAGTTACCCAGTCCCCTGTTTTATCCAGGTCCCTCTGCAATGCTATAGTGTCTAAGTCCGTGTCTATTACCCACCCAATTTTAGTATCATCTGCAAACATGGAAACATGGCTTTTAACACCTTCCCTGATATCGTTAACAATCAGGTTAAACAGTATTGGGCCTAGCACAGAACCCTGGGGCACGCCACTCTCAACCATAGAGAAATTTGAAAAAGAGCCATTTATCAATACTCTTCTTTAGGTAAACATACATTCACAGAGATTACTGCATATATTTTGCTCCTAAAAATACCCCTATTTTGACATATGATTTATAATTACAGGGCAGTATAGCTGTTCAGTTGTTTTTCCTGTGACCTTGCTGCTTTTGGTTTGCAACCCCAGCCCCATTTTTTGCAACATTTTAATGAGTACAGGGCGCCATGCGTATGTTCCCCCAGGGGGTAGGCCCACAATGTCCTGCACTCACACAAAGTAGGTTGAATGATGGTGTGTGTCATTTGACCAGGATGAAGATTGGCACTGGGTTTCAGAGCAGGTGAGTCTGCCAGGAACAAAAAATATAACTTTTACACATCATATTAGTTCTTTGCAATGGCTCCTACTGGCACCGTTTTTGTGAGAGGAGACTACAATATTTTTATGGCTGTTCATGTCCCGTTTACATATCCCTAATGGCTACAGCTGCACATGAGCTTTATTTTTCCACAGCATCTGTTGGTCATCACCTTCAAAGGCTGGTGCCAGTGGTTAGGAAGTTGTATATAGTGGCCAGTTTATTATGACCACCTGACGTTTGTAGGCAAATTAGCTATAATTAGCTATAATTTCGCTCTGAAGTTGCTAGAGGGCCAGACCATTAAAAATAGGGAAGCAGGTTGTTTACCACGACAGTAGAAGTGATTTTTTCTGAAGATATGGGTAAACAATGCGATTTAACAGCCTTTAAACGTGGGATGATTGTTGGCGCTCGGAGCCATGGAGCGAGTATCAGCAAAACAGCAGAATTCGTTAAATGTTCAAGAGCAGTTGTTGTTAAAGGAGAACTATGAGGTGAGTGCTTTCCACTCACCTCATAGTTCTAGCCGACCTGTGACAATGAGACTGTCACAGGTCGGCTCAGTAGATCGGGAGGTGAGCGAACACATTCTGGCGTTCGCTCACCTCTCGATCCTGTCACGACTCTGCCGTG